AACCCCCCCCCCGAAAAGGGGGGGGGGGGGGGGGGACTGCTGTTTCAAAGAAACAGAATACTTTCTTTAATAATTACCACCAAACTGTTCTCCAAAACAGTGGTACCAATTTGCATGGTCACTCAGGAGTGAACCACAACTGCCTGCTGAAATCTGGTCAATTAAACTTGCCTAGCCTCACAGCCTTACTGCTCTGAAGGGTGGACACACCTCATTTTGAGGGACTCTGTCAGTTGTTCAGGCCAGGCATCTCCTGCCCACTGTGCCGCTTTTCCTTCTGTGACTTACCTTTTTCTCTACTAGCTTAAGGTTCAAGATCTATGGCTAGGGAGGTGGCTAAGGTAAAGCATTTGCTGTGCAAGCCCAAGGACCTGCATGTGAATTCCTAGAATCCAGATAAAGTCAAGAAGAGCAACACATATCTATAATCCCAGTGCTCCTATGGTAAGATAGGAGGCAGAGACAGGAGAATCCCTGGAAACTCTAGCCTGGCTTACAAAGCAACAAATAGTAATAGAGGAAGCCTATCTCAAACAAGGTGGAAAGGAAGCTATCCTGTAACCTACACACATATGCCTGCACTCACACACATAAACACACACATTTTTTTTAATCCTCAAAATAAAACAAAACAAACAAAAAGGATTAAAAAGTTAGTCATGGTGGCACATGCCTTTAATCCCAGCATTTGGGAGGTAAAGGTAGGCAGATCTCTGTGAGTTCCAAGCCAGCTGTGGCTACAGGGAGACCCTGTCTCAAAAAAACAAAAAACAAAACAAAATAGAATCAATAATTCACCTTTTTTTTTGGTCTTTTTGAGACAGGGTCTTCCCTCAATAATTCTCATTTTTATGACACACCTCCACTTTTTTTTTTTTTTTTTTTTTTTTTGGCTTTTGGCAGGGAGGGTGGCATCCCGTGACACATATGTGGAAGTCAAAGGACAAGTTGCAGGAGTCAGTTCTCTCCTTCCATCATGTGGCTCCTGGGATTAGAATTTAGGTTGTCAGGCATGGTGGTGAGCAATTTTACCCAATGAGCCACCATGCTCAGTTTAATTTTTTTTTTTCTTTTAATGTTCCCATGTGGGCACATGTATGCCAGAATACACATGTGGAAGTCAGAGGACAACTTGCAGAAGTCAGCTTTCTCTTTCTATCTACCATATGGCTACAGGGATGCAACTCAAGTCATCAGGCTTGAGCAACAGGTACCTTTACTCATCTTGTCAGCCCTTTGAAAGGAGACTTTAGACCGTTTCTGCCTGACATGGTGGCACACAAGTTTAATCTCAGCATCTGAGAGACAAGCAGGGAGATCTCTCTGAGCTCAAGGCCAGCCTGGTCTACACAGAGTTCCAGGCTAGCCAGGGCTACATAGTGAGACCCTGTCTCAACAACAATAAAAAAACAAACTGTCTAGTTCAGAGTACTGGGTTACCATCAGGTCATTGCAGGTGAGAGTATAACACTAAAAAATTAAAATAGAGAAAGAGACCCACAAATCTCAAACTCTTGAGGTGCTGGAAACAATACCCTCTTTCCCATGGCACTGGTTTGACACATCTAAGCTTGTGATATGGATTCTTGAGTGGTTGGATAGATGCGCAGCAGTTAAGAGTGCTTCAGACACAGGACTAGAGTTCAGTTTCCAGCTATCACATAACAAGCTGGGCATCCCACCCAAGACTGTAACCTCAGCTCCAATGGTGATGGAGACAGGAAAATTGCTGGCACTTGCTGACTTCCAGCCTAGCCAAGATAACACTAGCCCCAAGTACAGGGAAAGACCCTCCCTCAAAGAAACCACACACATATGTATACATACACTCACATACACACACACAAAACTCTTTCTTAAGGGAGGGAGGGGAAAAAGGGAGGGAGGGAGAGAGAAATAAAGACTGCAAAAACTGAGACACCTGCACTCTTAACATTTGGCATGACTACTAAGAAGCATCTATTACATTCACATATTGTCTGACCTCAATACTCTCCAAACTATTAGACACATCCAGCCTCCTGGCTCTACTCCCTAGACTCACAGAAGAGACTAATCTTTTGTTGTTTTTGTTGTTCAGAATGTAATATCCAGTGCCGCTCAACTTACAGAGAAGAGCTGGATGAGTATAAAGCTCCTCCAAAGGTATGGGTGCCATCAAAGCAACATTTCTACTAAAAGTTCTTTGTCCTATTCCAAGCCCAGAGATGACTTGAAGCATCTGTGACTTTGTACAGGAAGCTTATCTTTCTGCTAAAAGAACCCATTGCTTCTTAAGCACAAAGAGCAATACTGAGGGATTGCCAAACCAGATCTCAAACTATGTTACAGAACCATAGTCATAAAAACAGCATCATACTGGTACAAAAACAGACATGTAGATCAATGGAGCAAAATAGATGACCCAAACATGAGTGCACTCAATTTCAGCCACCTGATATTTGACAAAGATGCCAAGAACAGACACTGGAGGAAAGACAGCATCTTCAACAAATGGTACTGGCAAAACTGGATTTCCGTATGTAGAAGAAATTAGACCCATATCTATCACCCTGAACAAAAGTCAACTCCAAATGGATCAAAGACCTCAATCTAAAATGTGAAATGCTGAAACTGTTAGAAGAAAAAATAAGCAGTACCCTACAAGATATAGGTGCCAAGAAAGGACTTTCTAAATCAGATAAATGTTCAGGAGTTAAGGTCAACAACTGACAAATGAAATCTCATTAAACTAAAAAGCTTCCATACAGCAAAGGAAACAACCAATCAAGTGAAGAGGAAGCCCATAGAGGATTAATACCCCAAATATACAAAGAACTCAAAAATCAAAAAAATCAAGAAAACAAATGGCTCAATTAAACAATGGGCTAGGCATCTGAACAGCGAGCTCTCAAAAGAAGAAATTAAAATGGCAAAAAACACCTTAAAAAGTGTTCAAAATCCTTAGTAATTAGGGAAAAGAAAATCAAAACTACTTTAAGATTTCATCTTACCCCAGTCAGAATGGCTAAGATCAAGAAAACAAGTAACACCAAATGCTGGCAAGGATTTGAGGAAAGGGGAACCCTTATTCACTGCTGGTGGAACTGCAAACTGGTACAACCACTGTGGAAATTGGTGTGGTGAACCCTTAAAAAAAACTAACAATTTTTTATTTTTTATTTTATGTGTTGAGTGTTATGCCTACATGTAGGTAAGTGCACCTATGTCGTGCAATGCCCACAGAGGACAAAAGAGGCCGTCCTGGAACTGGAGTTATAGAGAGTTGTTAGCTGCCATGTGGGTGCTGGGATTCGAACCCAGCCAGTGTTCTTAACCGCTGAGCCATCTCTTCAGCCCCGAGCTGTAAAGTCTTATAAACACAATAATGACTGGCTCAGCAAATGATCTCTATTGGTGCAGTAGTGGCACTCTTACCATGAGGATAATCAATAGCTATCTAATTGGACTTAAGGCTGGCTCAATGGGAGGAACCTCATATATGGTACTGTAAACATAGTCAAATACACATAGCTGGAGAGGTCACAGATCCTACAGATAAACCTACTTTTGTCACATCCCTACACCAATGTGATTTCTTACACTATTCTAAATATGTATCACTATATTTACAGACAAGTGTACTTCTCATCATTCACCAATAAAAGCTTCTTTTTGAAACAGATGGAGACTATTGAGAGAGTTTCACAACTGGTCAAACGCAGAGAATACATGTCTGTGAGATGTCCAGCCTTAAGTGACACAACTACAACACAACCTCTATACTTAAGGTCCAAGGAACATAGTAGGACAGGAGACAGAAAGAATATTAATGCATCTCTCAACTCTCACCAGCAAAGCTTCCTCAAGCAACAGATGGTGATTAACCCAGAAAACCACAAGTGGCCAAAGTGGAAAGAGTAATAGACTGCAACATGCTTATCCCTGGGTAGAACACCTATATTAAACCTCTGCCACTTA